CAGATTTACATATTTGAGAAAATAAGTTGCCATCGGTATTGACAAATGTAGCAACTGAAATGTAAAATAAAGAATCTATGTTTTGAGAAAAAGAAACATAAGCATATCACATAGATATTGATCTATATAGTGATAATATTTTTTCTAAAAATATACTTTCCTTTGATATATATAAAATAAATCAGTTTTCTCTTAATGGATTATTATCAGTTATATTTGCACGAGAAATGTTTGGGACTATAATGAAAATCTAATAAATAATAGAATACCCCTTAAAAATATATATATAATCGTTACCCACTATAATAACAATCGAAAAATGAATCATAAGATCATTACCCATTTTATATAATAACAATCTGGCCCTTACCCAATTTAACAAAAAACCTAAATTGTGTTTATAATAAAATTACCCGACTTAAGCAATAACAATTTTTGATTTTTTATAATAACTTTACCCAGTTTACCGGTAACCTTTATATGAAGTTTCCAAGGTCCTATTATTTTACCATGAGGTTTTTTTAATTTTACTTTTATCAATATTTTAATTTAAATTTATACTTACTTTAAAAGACGCGCTAGTCATCAAAATATTTACAGGTTATCGTTTCATTTGAATATCAAGATTTAAAGACCCGAAAGATTTGTTAAATTTAATGCTCCAACACCAAGCTCGTGGTTGGACAAATTATGATCTTGCAATTCAGAAAGCTGTATTTTTGATTACATTTTACTTTGATCCTATATCCCAGCTTCAGCTTTGCGAAAATAACAACTGGTACCAAGAACATAATTCAATTATTCTCTAATAGGGACTAAGATACTATCCGTAATTGTTGTTGAGCTCCACGCATTTAACTCTAGGGCATAATCGTATAGTTAATTTATCAATTCTTTTATTTATATTAATTAATATTTGTAATAGCCATTAATTATTTTCAGTTATTTAATTTTTTTAATTTTTTATTTTAATTTTTTATTCCTAAATTATTTTTCATAATGGTTTCTATTAAATAAAAAATATTTATTATTTTGAGAAAAGCAAGAAACCATTTGGTGTATGGAAAGTTATATGTAAGATAAAAATAAACTCCCGGGAAAAGGTCCTAATGGTACATTATTATTATGGTTTTTGAAGTGAATTAAACGAAAAAGTAGTATAGTAGGATCGGCTTGCTGAGTATAGTATGACGATATTATACTCGGTTGTATTTTCTTATACTCAACAGCTTAATTTAAATTTATTTTTATTACATCCTTTTTATTTTATTATACTGTATAATGTATATTATTATGTTTATAAAATAATACTTTATATTGTAGTCTTTCTTATTTTCTTACACTGCTAATTTAATTAGAACTGATTGAATTATTAATTTTATAGTATTCTAAGCTTAATAATTAAACATTAATTTTGATTTAATTCACGTTCCGTTTTCAAAATTTCAAGATTTGATAATTCAATTACACGAATTTTTGCTTCTCATTCTCTTAAGATAAGTTCACATTCCTTTAATTCTTTTTTCAACATACAACCTCTATAATAGTATTTTTAAGCTGTTATAAATAAAAAGGTACAAGGTACAAAAAGATTTTTAGCATTTTTTTTTTTTTTAATCCAACAAAAAAACCTAACAACTCGAAGTACTTGAATTTTGGCTAAATTTGGGCCGACATTAACTTGAAATCCATTACGCTTAAAGCCATTTCGCCGAAGCCATTTCGCCGAAGGGACGTTTCACGAGAATATACACTACCTAGACAAAAGTAGCGGACCTTCCATTTTTGTCAATTACTCAAAATTGTACATAATAACAATACTTGAAATTTTAATATGTGATAACGTAAATTCCAAAGAATGTATATTTAAAGGTTCACACTTCTAACTTTCACACAGCTATATTAATTAAAAAAGAAGCTTGGTAATTGTTACATTACTTAGACAAAAATAGTGGACCCTTTATTTTTGTTAATTACTTAAAATTACATAAAATAATAATGCTTGAAATTTTAATATGTAATAATATAGACTTTAAAGAACATAGAGTCAAATTTTCATGCTTTTAATTTTCATACAGCTGTATTTATTAAAAAATTAAAAATTCTTGATGATCGTCAAATTAAAAAAAAGTGAATGATTTTTATTTTTTTAGATACTAATTGTTAATTTGAAAGATAAATTATAAAAATTTATATATAATATTTATTTTCCAGAGCTGTAACTTTCAAACAATATATAAATTAAAGTATTTTATTATGTAAAATTTTGAGAATGTGAAAATACAGTATTGTTGTTTTTAAAAATTAAATTTTCTCTCAATTTTTTATATAATTCATATAAAAACAAAAACTAGATAAAGAAATTTAACGTATAATACATTAATCAAAATTCTGTACTATTACATATTAAAACTTCTGTTATTATTATTATGCAAAATTCTAAATAAATAGGCAATAACAGACTATTTATTTAATTTTATAGATAATCGTCAATATTTCCCTTTATAAGTTTTTTTAATTAATATAGTTGCATGAAGATTAGAACTATGAAATTTTGAATATATGTTCCTTAGAGTCTATGTTATCACATATTAAAATTTCAAGTATTATTATTATGTATAATTTCGAGTAATTAACAAAAATAAAAGGTCCGCTACTTTTGTCTAGGTAGTGTAGATAATGAGTATGATATGACCTCCATTGTATATAAGGTATGGTGCTAAAAATTGGGTATGTATGGTTAGTATGGTACCTACTTTCATATTAAAATCATACATACAACGAGGATCATATCATACTCATTATCGTTGTACCGACGTTTCACCGAAGGGATATTTCGTCCGAATCCATTTCACTGAATCGTCCATTTCTCTGAATTCTATTTCACCGAAAATGATATCAATGAAAATTATTTCCAGAGATCTTTTTTCCAGGATATTATCACTTCAACATTTCAAGTAACTGATATTAATTGCTAAGCAATAAATAAATACCTTTATAATCCATAAACAACAAGATAAATTTAATAAAAATCATCAAATAAAGAATAAATAATTTTTCGGCGAAATGTCCATTCGGTGAAATGTCCCTTCGGCGAAACGTACTTTCGGCGAAATGGCTTTCAGTGTAACAAATATAGAAATGGTGAGCTGATTTCAAAGATATAAAATGCTTAGTTTATAGAAAATCTAGAAAATCTTTAGAAAAAAATTCATTATTTGTAAAAGCTGACTGTTAACATTTTAGTAACTGGTTAAGAAATTTGTCAAAAAAAAAAATGTTCCGTACGGATCAACGGCAAGAATAAGCCATTCTAATTGTAGAAACTGAATAGTTAATTATTTAATACTATTTATTGTGAAAATAGGTTATGGTCCATTTCTCCATTTCACCGAAGCCATTTCGCCGAAAGAATGTTTCGTCGAAAGGACGTTTCATTTTATCGAATCCATCGCCCATTTCGCCGAATGAATATTATATAAACAAATGAATTTTATAAAATAAAGTTAACCTGTACTAAGGAAATAAATGGAATTTTTATTTAATTTTATATTTTATAAACGAATAAACTTTGCTAAAAATGAAAAAATAAATTTAATAAAAATAAAATTAGTGTTTATAATTTAAAAAGTTATTATGTAGTGAAAGGTTTATTGAAAAAAAATTAGACAAATAGATAAGCTAACAAAATGTTAAATATACATTTTAATACTAATACTTATTATTAAATAAGTATATTTTTTAAGAATTGGCAATACTAAATGGTGATATATAGGATTATACTAATATATAACAAAAATAAGTATGTGCCTCTCTTTTGACTGGCTTGTAAAAATAGTAGTTTAACGCCACTTATTCTGCGCATCAAACGCAATTTATTAATTTGACTTTGTTCGTAAAGGAGCATTGTCATAATACTCTCACATTGTCGATAAATAATTATGTAGTGTAACTCTAGGCAATTCCTTGATCCTTGGTTTTTTTGACTGAATGAATGACTGAATGAGCTATGTAATACATGATTCAGTAATTATATACACAGTCGAACACATGCCTTTGTGACATGTATGAGTATAAATATGGCACTAAAATACCTCAATTTCTTTTCAAGTTCTCAGTTTTTTTTCAATATTTCTTGTATTCCTTATCTTATTAAAATAATAGAAGAAAATGAGTAATACAAGTATTCCAAGTTTTTCAAATATGCCAAGTATGCCAGCAAGTTTTTCTGAATCTTTACCTATTTCCCCTGAAAGAATTAACCGGTTTAGATCTGAAAGGCTAGGAAATATACGTCCTCTCAATGAGTTCTTCGATAGAGATAGACTTTCTAAGCCAAAGGGCATGGGAGGTTCGTAATATTTATTTATTAATAAAAAACGAGTCATTTTTGACTAAGAAGCAAAGTAATATGGTTTGCATGTTTTTTTATTCAGATATTGCCCAACGTCTTTCTTATAACCTGACGCACTTTCAGTCGAACTATATTATAATTATTTTAGGATTGTTGATTTATTGCATGTAAATATTTTTTTTTGGTTCTTAAGTGAAAAATCTTAATTATCTGTATCAATTTTTGAGAATCTAATTCTTGTTATAGGATTACCAATCCATACCTTCTCTTTGCCATCATTTTCATTATGTTTGGACTACATTTTATTCGTAAAATGCCTCCAGACCAACCGCTTGTATTTGGTCAATATGTTTTAACCCAAAAACAATTGTATACTGGACTTATCATAATTTCTATTCCTCTATTATGGATATCTTCGCTTGGTTCAACCATATTTTGGATTGTTGGAGCTTCTGGAACATTGATCTTAGGTCATGCTGCATTTCTTGAACCAGGTGTTGATAGTGGTTTTGCATCAACTGCAGATCAAGTGTAAAACTAACTAGGGGAGATTTATTATATTTTTATTATATTATTACATTAGACATATTTATAAAAAATTATTATATATTTTACTATATTTATAAAATCGTAGGTGAATGCTCGGATCTTCACCTCAAAATCAAAAAAAAAAAAAACAATTATATAACATAATTACAAGAGACTGTTTATATTGTATTTTATATTGATCACACAATTATATTAATCTATTAATCATTAAAAAACCTCTTTAAAAGTCACATGGCTAAATTTCCACGTGACATCGATTATGATAATCGCGATAAATCGAGAATTTTTTTTTTTTTTGTGAAATGACCTCTTTTTTTTTTTCTAGAAAAAAGAGAAAATTCAAATCACGGTCTATTTAAGTAATGCAGGCTTTTACACGACAAAGTTATTTACTAAATGGAGGCTCAAAAATATTGAATTTTCAGATTCAATTAATGAAAAGAAGTTTTACTAGTACAAATATTGCCAGAGATGCGGCTGCTCAAGAAAGTAGTAGTAGTTCAACAAAGATAGGAACATCTGTACAGCCAACGAGAAAACCTATCGGCGGGTTCCGTGGGGGGTAAATATTTGTATAACAGTAATTTCGTGCAAGTTTACTTCATATTTACTTTTACTTTTTTATTTATGTGTTTTTGAAGTCTAATTGGGTTTTTAGTGGGTTTAACTATCGCAGGAGGAGCAGGATACCATTATCTTTTAGATGAATATAATACAGCATCTAAACTTTTATTAAGTTCTGTCGAAGAACTTCAAAAGTCCACCAACAAGGTACAATAAATAAATTTAATCTAAATTTTGAGTAAAAATAATAATATGCTTTTATAAATAGGTTCGTGATTATACTCGAAAAATTGAAAGAGTCGAACTGGAATTGAAAGCTCTTCAAATGAGTGCTGCTACAATAGACCAAATTAAAGAATTAAGGGGTGAAGTTCGGCAATTATACGTAATTAAAATTTTGATATTAAATATCTTTTATTTGTTTAAACTCAACTATTTATTTATAAGCCTACTTTCTCGTGATTAATTATAAATATAAGGATTCCCTCCACATAGAAGATCTCGAATTAAAGGCTTACATATATGGTATAGGTAAGTTATTTGCCAAAATATCCCTTTTATAGTTTATTATTAGGTTATTTATTTATTCATTTATTTATTTTCTTTGCAATACAAGAACAAGATGTTCAAGCTATTATGAAAAAAGTTAAATAATTCATAATATTTAAAAAAGGAAAAATAAATAAAAAAAAATCAAATAAAATGATTTTTCATAGATGGCTATTAATAATTATTTATTAGAGTACAAATATATCACTATTTAAATCATAAGTATTTATTATTTGTGGTAACATCAGATTATAAAAACCATTTAAAAAAATATTGCAATTTAAAGTGCATTTGTGAGCTTAATCTTTACCATTAAGATAACATCTTGTTTTTTTGTAAACCAAATTATTCCCTTCCACATACACTCTCCCTCCTAGCCCTAGATAACCGATATCTTCCAAAGTTTGAATGATATGGGGTAATATAAATGCCCTAAACTCAGATAAAACCCGAGAAAAAAAACATCCAACAATATATACATCTGTTAAAAGAAAAAAAATAAAAGCAAACCATCGTTAATATCAAATTTTTTTAAAATAAATAAATAAATAAATAAAGGTTTTACCATAAGATTCTTCGTAGCCTATATTACCCCAAAGTTGATTCATGATATCAACAGTCAATACAGATAAAATAAAATCTTTAGCTTCATGTACATTATCTTTGAAGAAATAAGCACAGGTATCAAAGAATATCCAAGCAATTTCGATATTATGTATTGTCATTGCAATATTTGGTAATTCTTCTGGTTCGTTTTGTTTAAGTTGAAATACTCTTTGATCCGTTATCGTTGGTGGCGAACTTAGTCGACAAAGAACGTCATTATCTAAAGCCCTTTGAAGTCTAATGTCTTCAAGTTGTAGTTGAACATATCCTCGTCTTGGCATTCTTTGAGCGTTTATTTCTCGAGCGGTAATAGAAGTTTGTTGAGTTTGACTTCTTTGAACGCGCGTTTGTTGTGTATTTTGTCGTCTAACACGTGTATTTGCTTTACTAGTAGTTGTACCAGCTTGCCGAATTTGCCGTCTCCGAGCATGTTGAGATGATCTTACCATTTTTGTCGCGTGTATTTACCGCGTTATCCAGTTGAAATAATTGAAATCAAAAAAAGAAAGAAACCTCGGGCCAATAACCTTTTACCCGATCAAAAAAAAAAAAAATTTATTAAATATATAATTGATGTAATTGATGATTTAAATTATTCAAATAATTTCTTTAGTTAATTATCATGAATACATATACGTATTTAAAAAGAAACCCCCTAAAATAACAACAGTTTTATATATTTGAAATCATTTTTTTTATACAAATCGACGCGTTTAAAATGTATAGTATAAATATTGGTTTTTAATAACAGATAGCAAGATGGTCATTAACAACATTTTCTGACTAAAGAAATCGGTAGTCTCCGGATTCACCCTACCCAGTCTATCGTATGACAGGACAGGTATTACTGCGGCAAATGCATGCTGTGTGTTTACTTGGTTGTTTAGACTATGAACACCAGTTTAACCATTTGCAAACCAACGCCAACGTTGCGATAGTGTTCGAAAAGAGAAACAGCTGGAACACACTTTACACTGGTCTGATCTGGATTCGTGAGATCGGTTCTTAAACATCTTAAACGTTATACACAGTACATTGTCGAAGGTTTGTATAATAAGGACGTAATTATTCATGAAAAGATTTTCATATGATTTTTTTTTTTATCATAATGAAGTGCAAAATTAAATGCAATAACGGTGCAAAGTTAGTCTATAGATTATAACATTGAATTAATTATTACCTATATTTAGATTCTTGGCTGTGTAAATAAATCTACTGGAGTGAGATTCGACAAAGAAGCATCTGCAAAATCAGATGTTAAACAATAACTTGGTTTACACTACCAATGAAAATGCATGATGACAATAATTAAGCATGGAGAATAGTGACTTTGTGTTGAATCAGTTTATTTATTTACTTATAAATCCAATTAATATTATTGATCACCACTTAGATGCCAAGGATAACTGATATTATCAAATTTTATTGAGATAGAATATCACTTACAAAACACATCTACTTCTATATTTAAATTGGTTTTGAATGTGCTATAAAAATCTTGAAGAATAAATAATAAAATGAAATTCTAAATTCAATAGTCATTTTGATCGATTTGATTTTTATAGATTTTATAACTTAAAAAGGGAAGTTAATTGCAAGAAAAAAAAAAATATTTTACTTTCTGTTGTATGAAAATCGCGTTTTTTATAGGATGTTTAAAAACAGAAAATCAAAAAAGTTTTGAAAAATCGAAAATAAAAATGAATCATAAAATTATTTTAGGATTTGCTTTTTTTAAAATCGTTTATCTCTTTTTTGATTTAATTTTTTCTTCAGAGAAAAGTTGTGTGTAATCAAAATTATATTAATGATTTGATAAACATTATTAAAATACTATCAAATTATAAATTAATATTAATTAATTTATTTCTTATTCTCTGAATTTAGCATGTTACTAAAAATAAACAAATCATTCTTGGGGATCAGTTAATCATGAAACACTTTTTTACTTTTACGTTGGAAGTAAAGACGTACTTTCTATATGTGACATAAATATGACACATGATCTACTTCAATTCAGTTTTTCCTTTCAAAGTTAAGCTTGAAAAAGTGGCGTAAATGCAAGGGATCTTCGAGTTCTAAAAAAACTTTGTTTACTTATTAATAGAGACAATGAAGGGCACCGTGTCACTTAAATAACTTGGTGGTCCAACCGTCAAGGTGTCGTTATATATATTTAAACTATAAAATTTTTGGATAATCCGCGATGAGAGTATAAAATTAAAATAACTTTCCGTGAAAGAGTTAATTTTACAAATGTGGTACGATGAGAAAATTCTTTAAATTCCTGCCAAGCTTTCTTTCTTTTCTTTATTTTCTCAATGATTTTATCCGTTGGCTATTATGCAAATTTCTGTATATGGAAACCTATACTAATTTTGTTATATTTCAAAACCATTTCCCGTTATATATTCCATGCATTATAAAATTTTTTAGTTGATTTATAATAAATTTGTTCCCTGATAATTCCCCTTCGGGTCGTTAAGCCACGTTTTTTCCTTAAAACGACAAAAAAAACGACGTCCGACAAGAATGAATATTATTTGTGATACAAAGCCGCCAATAACAAATCCATTATTTTTACTAATTGCCCCAATTCTTCGGCTCCGAAATATTCTTAGACCTGGACTCTTTTCTCCGTATTAGTTCCATTTTTTCCTTTCTTTCTTTAAAAATTAAAAACAATACTACGTTAAAGTATTTTTATTTGTTTTCCCAATTTTCATTTTCTCATATAAAATTAAAATGGCTTCAAGTTCTTCAAAAAAAGACGTCATTCGACGCAAATTAGTTATTGTTGGAGACGGTGCCTGTGGTAAAACTTCGCTATTATCCGTTTTTACATTAGGATACTTCCCAAAGGTACGTTATACTTTTTTAGTATTGCTTGCTTCGGTGCAATACTTGAATCTGGTTATTCCCTTAAGTCTTATAACTAAATATTTTTTTCTATATTATTATTTGATCTAGGAATACGTAAGTATAGATCTAATCATACATTATTCACTACACCAACCACTAACAAGGTGATTGTAACTCTAGTATACATATTGTCAACATGATCTCTAAAAAAAAAACTTTTTGTTCTTTGTCTTATTACTTTTTAAATAGGAACCAACCGTATTCGAAAATCATGTGACAGACCTTAAAATTGACGGAAAACCTGTACAATTGGCGTTATGGGATACTGCGTAAGTTAAAAGATGGTTTAAATAGAAGTATTTAGTATTTTCAAATAATATCATTATATATATTAATTTTATTTCTTAATTTATGATTAGAGGACAAGAAGAATATGAGGTTAGTAAAACTAAATAATAAATATTCAAATTAAAAAATAGATCAATATTATAAAATAATCTAACTAATTTTATTATTGTTGTTGTTATTTAGCGTCTTAGACCTCTTTCTTATTCTAAAGCTCACGTTATTTTGATCGCCTTTGCGGTAGATATACCCGATTCTTTTGAGAACGTGTCTGCAAAGGTGAAGATAAATATTTATGTAACCAAAAGAAAAGAAAAGAAGAAAATTAATATAACTAAATTATTGTTTTTATAATAATATCTAATATAGTGGATTGATGAGGTCAATTCTCTTTGTCCAGGTGTTCCGGTTATCTTAGTAGGTTTAAAGAAAGACTTAAGAGATGACGAAGCCAGAATTGCAGAAATGCAAAAGAAAGGCATTTCCTTTGTCGATCCTAAACAGGTATATTTAAATATTATAAACGAAATACTTTAAGAATCTCACTTGTAACATGGTTTTATTTATAATAGGCTGAAGTAATAGCAAAACAAATAGGTGCTCGAAAATATTTAGAATGTTCAGCATTAACTGGAGAAAATGTTGATAATGTTTTTGAAGCTGCATCAAGGGCTGCACTTTTGTCACGTGAAAATGTTTCCAATGGCTGTTGTGTTTTACTGTAACGTACACAACTGAAACAAAAAAATATATGATTCGATTTTTATTGCCCTCATTTTTTTTTGGGATTAATATTATTAGAAAGGAGAGGGATTAAAATTATATGGTATCTCTGTTTAGAAACTGGACATTTATTTTATTTATCTATTATTTATCTAGTATTTTATTCTTAACTCCTTTTTGCTTTTTTTTTTATTTACTACAGAAAAATCTAATTCATTTAGTTACACACACATATCCAAAACAATATAATCTTATATGATCTTGTATTAATCTTATATCATTTTTTAAAAGACAATATAAAAGTAAAAAATTTGTAATATTATATTTATAAAAAAAAAAAAAAAAATTCTATTCAATCTCATTTATATACATTTTTTTTTATCTATTTACTATTATTACAATAATTTATTATCTTAAAGCGAATGTTTTTTATTTTTATTTATTTATTTATTTATTTATTTCGCGTTTTTTTGATTAACAAAAGTCAATTTTTTTTTTCTTGAAAGAGTTTCGGTGAAAAAAAAAAAAAATCGAATCATATTCCTAATAAATTCTCAATTGAGACAAGGAAAAGGTGCCTAAATTCATTTATTACTATCAATGAAGTTATATTCGTATTACGGTATTAAAAAAATATATATATATAATTGCTAGAAATTAATTACTCAAAAAAGCTAAAAGAAAAATAATGTTCATTTATCTAGATGATCCTACAATGTTTTTCTGCTTATTACTCCAATCATGATTCGTTGATGAAGCATAAGCTAAAATCCATTTAGTATTAGTTAAAGTATTCCTAAGAGCTTTTGTCCATATCTCATAATCACTTTTATATCTAATTGATAAATTATCAATTTTGTCTTTTTGAATACTATATATATTATTTTAAAAATAAATTAGCTAAAGCAACAAAATAAAATACATAATTATGTATATAAAGACTTTACCGATATGGTAATTTCAATTTATGGTCCTGCCGTTCAGCGTAATCTCCCAATTGTTGCAAACAATTTAAGTAGGCTACCATGGCACTATTAAAACGATTAATCAAAAATGGTGTCTTAAATGTAAAATCACCTGATCCATAACTGCAATTTAAAATACAAAGTTAAAATAGAAGTTTTAAAATAGGTGAATATCATCTAGAAACTTACAGTTCATATTTTGCATCTCCATCAATCTTTTCAATCCTAGAAAAAGAACCTAAAGGAACTAGCCGATAGCTAATAAATAAAATAAAAAACCAAATAAAATAAATTTCGTAATTAAAATTAATAAGTAAAAAAAAAAGAATGAGAAAAAGAGAAAACTTTTACGTTTGAAATGTAAAATTAAGTTTATTTGCAATTGTTGAAAGTAACAAAAGTGTTTGGCCCCAAGCGGCATTAATTTCACTCCATTCAACCTATAACAAATTATATTAAAGAAATTAAAGAACATCTGCTAAATATCATTTTATTTAGTTGATTTCATTTTATTATTACCTGTACATCAGGTAATTTGCCTAGCCGAAATCCATTTATTGTACCAAAAAGACCATCTATTCCAATACAAAATGTATCGTTATAAACATTGGCTTTTTGGAGTCTCTCTAATTGTCTGGCATCATGATCGTACTTTAGATTGACACTATCTCTCTCATTTTGAAATGTTTGTATCTGAATATGAAAGTCATTGAACTCCTGCCAATAGCTAAAATTGAATAAATTAATAAGTATAGATTGCTTTTAACAATTCAGTCAACAAAATGCAGTATCAAAGATAATAAGCACCTTTCCTCAAGTCTATCAAGTTCTTTTTCTTCTTCCTCTAATGCTGCCAATTCTTTTTTCAACGCATTACTTTCATTCTCTATTTCCTTTAACTTTTTAATTGCAGCTGACTCATTAGATTTTATCTAAAAATATGTATAAATAAATGTCAGTAAAATAATAAAAATACCAATTAATAAAGTTGAAAAGATTTAAGATTTTCTAAAATAGGTAATCTGCTACCAAAGTCTTGCCTCTTGAATTTCTTTTTGTAAGCTTATTTTTTCAGAATCACTTATTACGCTTTCGTTAACTTTCTTAAGAAAGTCAATATAACAGTCTCTTTCTTTAGAAGCATCAGATAACTGTTTTTTCAAGCTATCTAGAAGTATCTCGGTACACTCATAACACATGGGATGTTCAATCTCTGATCTTGACGACATAATGTCAAATAATCGATTTGCGACTTTGATCCTATGACTCAAACTTGCTTTTTTTTCATCAACATTTCCATCAAGTGGACCACGTTCCGGTGACAAATTATTGTTAGAATGTGATGCAACTTGAGAACGTGATAACACTACATATGATTCTGAAGGTGGCAAGAATGACTCTTTGTTACTAATGCCTCCATTAGGAGAACGTGAAAGTCCAGAAGAATTCTTTGAGGAAGAAACAGATCTTTGGTTTGATTTTGACACTGGAAGCTCATTATCATCCTCCTCAATATCGTTAAAGATAGTTTGCTTAGAGCTTCTAATTCCTGTTTTTTCAGATATTGGTGTTGTAGTACTTTCTTCTGGGAGAGGTGCTAAATATTATAACAGTAAAAAGTGAGAACTAATGTACGCAAATAAAAAAGTGAAACCTATATTATACCTAACAGGAGATCTACAGAAGCTGCACTTAGATCTGCTAATGATTCATCGATTCTTAATGGATGTTTACAGCGTTGACAAATGAAAGCAGAAGCTTGATCCATTTTAAAGAAAAAAATGGGAAAAAGAACAGTATTTTAAATTATGTTGCTCTGTTTGACAAAGATCGGTCACATTGCATTAATGAAAACGTGATTTCCGATTACAACATTTTAGATCAGATTATTGTGAATATCATTCTTTTGTTAAAAAAATTTTTTTTCTTTTTGAAAAAGAAAAAATAAATCATATAAAATGGTTTTACAATTTTCTTATTATTTGTGCGAATTTTTAGTTTTCAATATTCTATCATATACTTACTGAACTCTTTTGTTATTAGTCAGCAAGGGTAATAGCGCAAATTATCGTTTTAGGAACGCAGATTTTAGGCAAAGCCTTTGTTGAAGCGTATAAACAAGCTGTAGCAAGTGAATATTCATTACATCTCATTTAGATTTGAATTTTTTTTAGTTTTACCTATAATCTATATCTACCTATTTAATTAGACGCAGCAGGCGGAGGAGCAGCTGGGTCAGCTGGACGAATGGGAAAAGATGCTTTAACAAGACAAACAGGAATGTCATTAGAAGAAGCATATAAAATATTAAATCTCAAAAAAAATAATTTTGATGCTTCAACTTTTTCAAAGGTATTTAATTATTTAACATTTTGTATTGGATGTATTGGATGTAAAAAGAAATTATTTTATAAATTACTAAAATTTTTCATGTTACAATCCAGAATTTTGAGCATTTATTTAAAGTAAATGATACATCATCTGGTGGGTCATTTTATATACAATCAAAAGTAATGAGAGCAAAAGAAAGAATTGATATGGAAATGGCAGAGGCTGCTAAGAAGAATAAAAATCCACAAAATAATAATGAACAATCATCATCATCACAGTCTACATTTAATAGTTAATAATAGCAATAGCAATTTTTAATATATTTAATTATAATTAGATTTAATATGCTTAAAAAACTCAAGAAAAATATTTTAAACAGCCACCAATTAATTATAAATTATCAAATGATTTTATAAAATTATAATATTTTTTTTTTTTTTTTGAAATCTTTGATATTTATACAGGTGTTTAAAGTCAACATGCTATTTAAAATCAACAAAAACTTTATTTTAAAATTATAGAATAGGTAAATCATTATTGCTTTAATCAATGTAAAATTTTATTAGTAATTTTAAAAAATTAGATAATATTTTAATGTAAAAATTTTTATATTATATAATAATAAAAATTATCAACTTTACTAAAATATAATATTAGTCTAATCTTGATATACCGATATTTAATATACTAATATACTATTAAAAACTTGATATACTGATAAATTTTATTTTTCCACTATATGTAAGAATATATAAATATCAGTATAACTTTAATATAACGATATTTTCTAAAAATTTTATATATGTTCCAATATATTATTATATAAAGGTTTGACTGTTTTCTGTTATCTTGAATACAGGTTATATGAAGTTAGTATTCAATACTATAGTATATAATTTTACAAAAATTATTATTTAAACTAAACAAATTGTACTAATTAAAAATTGCTTACTGGTACCTTTAAAATAGCTAGAAAAAAAAAATTTGAATAATACTATCATTTTTTTTTATACTAGAAATTTGCAAAATAAAAAAAATCAAAAAATATAAAAATATAAATAAAGTATATATTGTAATATTAAACATTTTAATGTAAAATATAATTATTAAATAAATAAAATTAGTTTAATTAGACTATTAATAATATAAATAAAAAGTTAAAGTAAAAATAAAAAATATATAAATTATATAAGAAGTTTGCTATTTATCACTACTAGTGGTCAGCACCAGTATCACGTGATTATAATTAATTAACAAAACTTAATTATTTTATTTGTGTAATTTTATGTAATTTTTTTATACAACTGACTAAAAAATAAAAAATTGCATATACCTTTAATTTTTGAGAACACCCCAGTCAAATAAATGATAATAGCAAAAAGAGTATAAGGAATAAGAAAGAATAAAAATAGTAATAAGAAATATACATGCTGCCCAAATTATTTTGGGATGCCATAATTATAATTTGGGATGCCATAATTCATTCAGTTTATATATAATTTACTATGTAAAGTGCCAAAATAATTTGGGATGCCATAATTGAATTTGGGATTTTACTTATAATTACAGCAGTCCAAAATAATTTGGGTGGCATGTATAATAAAGAAACAATATAGGATGAAATGATAATGAAAAAAAAAACAATAGGAGATGAAATAACAATGAAAGAAAAGTATAGAATGAAATGATAAAAAAAAAGCAATATAGAATGAAATGATGATAGAAAAAAAAAAAAATAATAGAAGGTGCAGTATATATGGGATGAAATGATGATGAAAAGCAATATAGAATGAAATGATGATAGAAAAAAATAATAGAAGGTCTTGCCGATAGTAACGAAGCCATGCGTTGCGAGTATATTTTGGCCATTCTTCACACTTCACTCTATATCGTCAAAAGAATAACAGATAAAGAGCTTACCTTAGCTCCTCAGCTCGAAATCGTTGAAGAAGAAAGTACTGGCTGGGTTGACTATGCAATCAAAGCCCTAGAGGAACTTCTATGCATATCGGAAGGAAAGCTACATCAAGTGGTCATGGGTTTCTTTCAGAATTTGATTCAATGTGAAAGCGCTCTACAAGTTAATAAAAAGAATAGGAAACGTAAATCAGGTGAGGCGTTTGGGGAAGATTTCGACTATATCTATGGGATCGTTACAACAGCCTCAGAATGGTATTTTATTCTTTTTGCCTTGGATGGGATATCGAGCACAAGCAAGGATCCCCTCAATATCCGATTTACCGAATCAGCCTTGAAGGAAGGGTCAGAGGAAGAAAAAGACTTATGTAAAAATGTGAAACAAGTTATAGAGGTCGTCGTTGGGCTATTGAAAGATAGGTTAGAGTGTATGGGCGAAGAACTGGATAGGAAGAAGGTTAGGATAGAGGAATATCATTCGAAAAAATAATCATGTATAATAGCCTAGATGTCATGTATCACGGGCACAGTCCCGAACATTTGTATTTATTTATATATTAATAAAAAAAAATTGAATTTTGCAGGTATATGATAAGCGAAAAAATATATAGTCATAGAACTGCCATTCCAGGGCTATAAACAATTTATTATATCATAATCCTTAGCATAATGCTCGCGCTAAAGCTAATATATATTCTGACCCTAAAACACTAGTCTTGGTGAATGCATCATATAAAGAATTTGGCCTATACTTTGAAGGACCCAAATTTGGATGATGAAGAAATTTCACAAGTATATCATTACTCCAAGCTTTCGTCTCCTCACGCTCCCAAGTTATCTCTACCAATGTAAATAGGTTACTATAATTCATTTCCATTAGGTTTTGAAGTGAAGATCGTTTATTTTTTTTGAGAATAAATAAACTCATCCCACCCTCAACAGCAGAGTCCACAGTAATAGGGAAGTTTTTATGAATATCTGATCTACTTGCTAAGATTGATAAGGGCGGAATTAAGGCTGAATAGTAGAAGTCGGCTAAGGGATCCAACTCAAAATCACCAACACATATAGTCCCAATATCTTCTAAATAATCCGAAAGTCTATTAGCATATCTGTAACCTTCGCAAATCAACTTCTGGAATAGCTTTCCATTCAGGCTGATCCATCGACCAGTTAGTAAATTAAGTACTGTTCTATGTATGTCTGATTCTTGCATATGGATTGTTGAAATTAACATTTATGAAAGTGATAATAGATGATTAGTACTTATGAAAATGGTATATCTAATTACTCATTTCCTCCCATATTCTTTTTTTTATAATATATGTATGCTCTTTCCTTACCTTGTCCGCATTGGACACAAAGCTGAACGCTTGATTTGGTGCCTCGTTCACATCCTTTACATGGTTGTGGAATTATTACGCCCTTTCGTATTTTGAATGCGTGGAATGCACAATATTGATCCTGTGCTGATTTTTCGCAGAAATGGGTCTTTTTAACCAACAACCAATTACAAGATATTTCTTTCCTCTGTCCATTATTCATACTCATTTTCATATTTAAAATATATCATCGCCTTGAAAGAGAGAGACAACAAATAAGTTTGTCATATGATGCCTACTTGTATGATGGTCATTTACTTTAGTAAACCCTTATTAATAAAAATTTTTCTTGGCAATTTTCCGTGATGGCCCGTCACTCAAATTTTTTAGCAGAATTAAATATATACTAACAGACTTTTGAATATTACATATCTTCTATAAAAGTATTATCAATCATGTTGTCAAACCTTGAATTATTGAAACAACGCATTGCCAACCTTGAAGCTGAAAAAGACGAGCTTAAGGGTGAGAATGCTGAGCTTAAGAATGAGAATGCGAAATTGAAACGGATTATTGAGGAGAATGCCAGGTGTGATGCTGAGAATGCCGAACACAAGGTCAGAATCGAGGAATTAGAGAAAAATAGTGCAAATATTTCAGCCGAAAATGCTGAGCTTAAAGCTGAATTAGCCAAATTAAGACATGATTTCGATTCCTCCAACCTCACGAGGCCTCAGCAACCCCAGCATGTTACTAATGTGCAGAACTCATGCTCTGTTGAAGAAGATATATCTTCAGCTAAGCCTGAAAGATGCTTCGCTTCGAATGATATACCTGATCTTGTAATAGACTAGCGTGTAACTGATAACACGAACATCAAGTCAATGGACACTTTCTTAGATGAGACATTTAAGAAAAGCGTTAGTGATGGGTTTAGGCAGAGGAATAGGGAAAAGAAATTGTTGCATGAATCAGCTACCCAGTACTTATCTGGTGTTTCAAATGAGACCACTTCTTCTGTAATAAAGGACGAAAAATCTCAATCACATAAGAAGAGGAAAGCGGAGAATATTGTACAGGATTTATTTGATTTCACAGCCACTTCGGCACCTGAGAAAAATCATATGACTGAAATTTCCATGACGGTCCATCACGAAAAATCTGATATGGATAATCCCCAAATATATTACAAAATTTAGCCTGCTTAATCCAAGAAGCATGGGATGCGAAAGATGAAGCAATTCTAGCTAACCAAAAAGAATTATTGTATTGGTGTTCCTATATTGTAGAATTCAATAAAAAGACCACAGAGTTTATGACCAAGTATAAAATTGGCGAGAAAAAAGTGAAAGGTATGATTTATGACAATCTTATTAAACTCCTTCATCCTGATACTAAACGTAATACATTACTAAAACAAACTTAGAGAGCAAGAGACATACACAAATTATTTGAGAAAATAGGAATTGATAAAATTAAGTATATCACAACGTATAGTGCGAATTCTATATCAGAATTATCTGATAGTCAAATTCAAACTATTGTTGATTATTTCTCCAAGAATCCAAACACTGAATTACCAGATGATCAGGATGGCACTATTATCAATTTCGAAGAGGATATTTTGAATGATCAGGATAATGTATTGGAGGAGCAAGCAAAACCCTTAGTTTCAGCAACGCGGGCTAAGGTAAGCATTCCAACTGCACCTATTCCATTAACTCATGTCTCCAATTCTTCAGGTGATTCCTCCAGCTCGAAAAAATTGGATGCCAAGGTAAAGGTGGTACCACCTATTCCTCAACCTGAGACTCTAGTCCATGACCGCTCCTATTTTAGCAACAAAACATTGGATCAATATCCTAATTTATATAGAGAATTTAGTAGTGAAGATTTTGATTATTATGGAATAAATGACGAGACATTATGCCCATTATGCAAGTTAGATCATGATGATGAGGAAGGTATAGATGGTATGTATAAATCCGGATCTTACTTTATTAAATGTGAACAGCGCGAAATTGAGATAACTGCATAGTTTCATTACCCTGCAGGAGATGATCTAACTATTTTTTTGGAAATATGATAAAAGATATTAGACAGCTTTCTATCCAGGAATTTTAATCTTTTTTCGAACTAAAGAGAAAAAAGGGATTTAAATTGATCTGTGATCATAGAAAAAAGGAAACATAAGCGAATCCAATAAAATATTAACTCCTGAATATCTGGATTGGCATGCCAAATTAACTGGGTTACCAAGCGTTTTGACGGAAAAGATTCATTCTAAATTATACAAAAAATATAAAAAGAAACTGGGCATGAGTCATGGCAACATGCATCAGAAGCCGGTCTTCTCATAAATTTGAAGCCAGAGAATAAAGTATCCTATTTATCTTTTTTATCTTTTTCTGAGCAATGTAAAGAAAAAGAGCCCATCACTTTCGAAGCCAAATCTGATCCAGAATTAATTATCAAATCCGTCTTAGAGCACTTCCCATACTTGAAATTCAAAAATAGTTTCAGAGGGATTGATAATTATGATTTTACATCACTTCAGCCGTGGAGCTCACCATGTCCTATTTGCAATGGAATACATGGGAATTATGGATTACATGGTTCATAGTACTGCGAAAATGGGAATCAGCTCCCTTATGATCCTGAAATGGCAAAGTTCTATTCTCAAGATAAGTTGGAATATTGTCTTACTTGCTTCACTTCAGGCAATAAATTCAGGTTCGCGATTGTGGCTTAGACTGGTCATGTGAAATTGACATTTCATTTGCTACTCCAAAAAATTAAATGATCTGAATATTTATGTACCAATTTTTCACCCCTTTGATTGCGTGAAGTATCTGGAAAATATGATGCTTTTTTTTCTATTACACTCTTAAGTCTGAACAAAAGTATGCAGCAGAAAAATTTCATCATATCCATCTCGTGTCACGTGATAAATGGTCGTTTGTGGTACCATAAGTAAGCGATTGACTATCATACGCGATTGTCAATGAGATTTATCAAATTGCTCGAACAAAGTAAAAAATTCTCCTTCTCCCTGAATGTCTTAACTCTGTAAAATACCGCGGTAAGATAGATTGTGCCGATATTTTTTTTCGATATTTATTTCGTAACTTATACTTGTGATTATGTAGGCTTTTGGGAGAACACGGACGAGCCTTCGCTCAAGAATTTCTTAGATTTTCGACTTTTGGCTGGCGACTTAGAAGATATGCAAACTGAGTACCATCGGTACAAGAAAGAACTAGATACAATTGGCAAATTTTATGCCGAAGTATCTGAACCTGGACAAGAAGTGTTAAGGTGGAAAAATGCCTTCAAGGCAAGTAATTTATATTATTGTTCAGGAGCCGAGTACATCAACTACCCTGCAACCTGCGCTCTTGTAGTGGGAACGACCGCGTGTCTGTTGATGAACTATACTCCATGAACCACCTTGAGACTCTATGTGCTATTGAGTACACCAACTACCCTGCAACCTGCGCTCTTGTAGTGGGAACGACTGCGCGTCTGTTGGTGAGTTATATTCAATGGACTTGAGATCCGTGGTGCTCGCGAAAGATGAATGTACAATCTGGGTGCTTGCTTGTTCATGATGACTCCTATCCTTGCTTGCATAGAGTAGGATGGCTATCAAACAAAATCTAGAACGTGTACTTAGATCTTCTCTCATATTATCACTAGCAGTTAAGTAAACAGTCGGCAGTAGTAAAACGTTTTTGGAAACTTCACGCAGAAAGTCAAAATATTGCGGCGAGGACAAATATGCAAGAGAAAAAGGCAAAGGCGAAAGTTCTGAAATTGCAGGTATGTAACTCAATTTCCCACCATCTAACGTGCTAGACCGGGACATTTACATTTGATCTATTTCTATACATAGACGAATCAACATGTAACTATTGCCACAGTGGCGACAAAACAAATTCAACAATATGCCAGGTCAACAAACACCAGCATCATGAAGAGATTCTATTGCGATGACAACGAAAAAACGGTAAAACGTACCAGAACTGATAAAGTATTTAGTTTTATTATTGCGGGGATATGATTTTAACTTAAACACTAACAAATCCAAACCAATTAATCACTATTTGCAATACAATCAGTGCGAGGGTGATAATTCAAACTCCGAAGGAAATGACAATTTTCATGCCGAAGACTATGATCATCAAGACTTGGACCAGACTGGCGATGAAATCGATGATACTTGCGAAAACTCTCTCTCAGATCATCAAGATTTGGACCAGACTGGCGATGAAATCGATGATTCTTGCGAAAACTCTCTCTCAGATCATCAAGATTTGGACCAGACTGACAATGAAATCGATGATACTCGCGAAAAGTCTCCCTCAGTAATGGCCGTTGAACGTCGAGAAAAAATGAAAGGACTGCACTTGCGACGTCACAGAACTTAACGGATGTATATGAAAAGTTTCAGGATAGCCGGAAATGGCGTCTTTCTACGGGAAAGGTTGTAGAGGACGCTCTCTACAATTTTGCAAGCAAATGTTCATATGAACAGTATGTAGTGTGTTATGTGTAATATTATAAGCTATAATCTCACGCCCATATATTTTCTTTCACAAGTGCTTCGCACAGCTTCATAATTGATCCCACTGACCAGTCATACATCAACGAAGGTATTTTCACAGTGGACGAACTTAATGAAATTAAGACACATAAAAGACGTGATTTACCGGAAATTCCGGAGGATCTTCTTAATTATTTAATGACATTTGCAAAGGTAATACATTGTTTGCACAGAATGAAATAAGTCTGGACATTTTGTTTTCTAATAATGCATTATTCCTAAAACAATATGTGCTCATTTTCGAGAAGAGCACGTTACATGAGTTAAGGAGTGCGATTGATCAACCAATTAAAGTTTTACAAGGAGAATTTAGTCCAGAGAAACACCATGATTACGATTGGGCCAGATACGCAATGTATACGATGTGAGTATGGACCACAAAATGAGTTTATCATGTTTACAGAGAACTGATATTTAAATTTAATTTATAGTTTACAGGAGTATGAAACTGGGTCCCTTAGGAAAGACCATCATGAACGGTGGTATAATATGCATCTCTGGTGTCCCATTGTTGATAGATGCTTCTCCTATGTTGACGATATGGATACGATTCGGTATAAACTTGTTCATTGGCGAAATCTTTAAATAACAAACATCATTTATTCATTTTACATTAATTTTTAGTGACGAGTCTTGCAGCATTGCTTCCGGCATACGAAAGAATGCCAATCGTACCGCATCTGGAGTAAATAAGATGGAAAGGCAAAAGGTTGGTCGGAGGGGAGATTTCATATTGAGAACATCATCGAATTTGGAATTTGGCGGTGCGGAAGCTGGCAGAACCTATAAAACGGATAAAGGCACAAAGTGGCTCGTGGAAAGCGGACTTAAGCTGCCGAAATTATTAAAGGATATGATTGTTCAATTAGCAAGTAATGCTGAATGGTCAACACCGGTGTTACGTAATTTGAAAACAATCGGATTTGTACACGCAGGTGAGTAATAAATTTTTTAACGATCATTTTACGTCTTTTGATATCTCACTTCATATTTTGTTTTTCTGAAAGACTGCAGGCAAATGTTGCTGGAGTTAGATTGCCCTGAAGGGTACGTGTGTCGTTTGAGTCGTGGTAACATCTTCAAAGTGGCCGACTCTATCGTTACACATACTACCGAAACGCTGCCACTAATTGCAGTAACCTGGAGAGCTAAGGTGAGTAGAGTGGATGCTCGTCTGTTTGTTTACAATATATATTGCATTTCCACAATCTAATCTCTTGATACACGAATGCTCTTGCAGGAAACTATTCAAGAATGCCTCAATATAGTTCGGAGACGCACTGTTAAGATTGATGATGAAAAAGAAGTATTAAGGATTATACGATCTGCTGGATCGAACAAGCCTTCTAAGATGGCAGATAATAATATAATTATTCCTGATTGCTTTGGAACTCCGTTGAAAAAAAAAGCGATATTGAATCAAAAAAATAGCTTTTCCTGCGCCTAACTTACCATCACATTACGTCCATGTCCCACTCAATATTAAAATTGCATTTTACTATATTTCTTTTATCTTGTAATTGCTTTAGCGTTCTGTTGTAATTATACAGTATAATAAATAAAGTGCTTATGAACTTGGCTTGAATGTGTGCTAGCTTGTATACATTCACTCAAACCTACAGTATTATTTTTTTCTCTGCCTTCAAATTTTCTTAACATTTTTCAGACATGTCTACTGAAAAATCAACCAGCGAAAAGGTGAAACAGTCTAAGAAATCAGTTGATAGGGATAAGTCTCCTACATTGCAAAGACTGATTAAAGAATTGTCTAATTTTAATAGCTTCTGCGGGAGACAATCTGTTTTAGTGAAATATTTTTTGGATTAAGAATGGAAACTTTACTCCCGAAAAAATTTATTTTGAGGGAGATTTTGGGGAAGCAATGAAGAAAAGGTATGATCATTATAGATTGAAACATGGAGATTTGGCGTCTCAGTCTCTAGTTGAGAATGATGTGCAGAAATAGCTTCCCAAAGATATTTCAGAAGAAGCTCTTCGAAAAAGAATTGAAAAAGCTCAAAAGGTTTATGGTCTCTTCAGTAGCATCAATGTGGATGTAAATATGGGTAGGGCTATGATAGGAAGAATTAAAACTTTTTCATTATCAACTATAACGGCCTTGTCTAAGGAAGACATTAAATACGTAATTGTTAAAGTGCTTTGGGGATAGTTTGCCCTGAGCGCCTTCGGCAGTGTATTATGCCACATATTACAGCGCCTGTGACTTGCATGTCCGGCAATGTCTGTTATAGTGTAAAAAATAGTGTTCTGAAAACATATATTAATAAAGTTTAGCCAGTTCGGCCATTTATTTTTTTAATTGATACTGACTACTGTATGATTAGCTTGAAAATGTTTTTTGATCGATTCTGACACCACATAATTAGCGGACATACATGTCCAAAAATATTTGATCGATACTGACACTACATAATTAGCGGACATGCATGTCCAAAAATATTTGACCGACACTGCCACCACCTAATTAGCGGACATGCATTTCCAAAAATATTTGATCGATACTAACACCACATAATTAGTGTCCGGGATTCCTTGGTACTGCGCCAGGATTACTGCACCTCTGTCATCTAATTTTTCCGGAATATAATTAGCCGATCATCTCGTGATTTATAGAAACTCTGGAACTCTTTTAGAACTATCGAGGAACTGGCAGGGAGTTAGGGTGATACTGTGATATGATATACGTTGTACCACAAACCGATTTAGCCAAGGCGTTGTGCATATGCATGTAAATATAAAATTAGCATAGTCAAGATATGGCCCTATATAAATCCTCAGTATGCTTATAATCGAATAAAAATGAATCTGATATTTATTAGAGTATACTATTGCTAAATTGGCTAAAATCGCTAAAAACAGTATAAATCAATAAAATTGTTATATTCTGTTATAATCTACCAAAACGCTAATATGGATTTAGATAGTAAAGCCTATTCCAAGTTAATTCATGCACACAATAGTATTGGAGGCTCTGAAGAATATATAAGAATTATTGTTGCAATATTGCCTTTAGCAGAAAGACATGATCATGAAACACCAGAAATGTGGTGCTCTCGTATTCGTGATTCATTTAGGAAAATACTAGAAGAGAACCCAAGAATCCTTTCTAAGAATAGATATATTACAATGTATGAAAAGCTATATGTAGATGATAGGATTCATAATCGTCCAACCAATTATATATATTGCAGTGTATGTAACTCCTTAGTTTTCACACCTGCAAATAGTCTTTTTGAGGATCGCTATGGAGATAACCACTTGAAGAGATGTATTTCTGGAAATACTATTTCGAATGAACATGCAAGAAGAAATGAAATTCTCAAATCTATTGATACAAGGGAATTTCAGATCTGGCAATATAAACAATACATATTACAAGAAGAGGCTAAAAT